CTTGAGATGAGTATAATACCGAGCACATCTCCTGAGGTGCACATCAACCAGACAACTGCTGCAGCATATGGGCGCCTGGCAAACCTAAGAATAGCATTCTGACACCTCAGTAAGGACTCGTTCAAGACTCTGTACACCGTTCACGTCAGGCCTAAATTAATAATAATAATAATAATAATAATAATGTACATAATATACATGTACAAGGTATACAGGTCTAGCCGACATCAATGACATACTACTATATAGAAAGCCGCTTGTTATGCAGAGCATTTCAGGCATATTAGGTCAGTTTTGTCTCGAGATGCGACCCACACCAGCCGACTAACACCCAGGTACCCATTTTGCTGATGGGTGAACAGATACCCGGTCTAAGGAAACACGTCAAATGTTTCCACCCCTTCGCCGGGAATCGAACCCGGACCCTCGCCGTGTGAGGCGAGAGCTTTTGCCACCAGGCCACAGAGCACCACATGCAACACCAGTTTGGAACCCACACCTGGTGAAGTACGTCAAGAAATTAAAGGAAGTGCAAAGGTTTGCAACAAAACTAGTCCCGGAGCTAAGGGTAATGTCCTACGAAGAAGGGGTAAGGGAAATCGACCTGATGACACTAGAGGACAGGAGGACTAGGGGGTACATGATAAAGACATAAAAACTGCGAGGAACTGACGAGGTGAACAGGATGTTCTAGAGATTGGACACACCATGAAGGGGTCACAATTGGAAGCTGAAGACTCAGATGAGTCGAAGGAAAGTTAGGAAGTATTTCTTCAGTCATAGAGTTCTCAGAAAGTGGAACAGTCTGGAAAGTAACATAGTGGAGGCAGGATCCATACATAGTTTTAAGATGAGGTACGATAAAGCTCATGGAGCAGGGAGAGAGTGGACCTAGCAACGACCAGTAAAGAAATAGCGCCAGGAGCTATGAATCGACCCCCGCAACCACAATTAGGTGAGTACAGTAAGGCGAGTACACATACACATGCACGCACGCGCGCGCGCAAGGCGTTTATGGGCATGTCAGGTTCGTCTTGGTGTATACAGCACCAGTATGGATCCTTCCTCTGATAAAGCATGTCAAGAAACTTGAAAAATCTGCGAGGGTTTTCAATGAGACTAGTCCCAGAGCTGAGGAGTATGAGCTCTGACATGAGATTAAAGGAGTTCAACTGACAAGAAGGGACAGCAGGACCAGGGGTGACATGATGTGTCATACAATGTACCGAGATAAATTGATGATGGACAGGGTGAGTCTGTTCAAGAGGTGGACCACAGGTACTTGAAGGTACATCTGGAAGTTAAAAATACAGATGACTCTCAGGGATGTTAGGAAGTTTTTCTTTAGCCTTATAGTGGCCAGGAAGTGGAACGACCTTGACAGCAAAGTGGTAAAGGCAGGATATATATATAACCTTAAGAATAGGTATGATAGGGCTTACCCAGCCAGGAGAGTGAATCCAGTAACTGCCAGAAGATAGGCAGTGCCAGGAGTCGACTCGACCGACCCCTGGAACCATAAATAGGTGAGTACAAACTGGGGAGTACACACACACATGGGAACAGGAGCTGTGACTCGACCCCCTGCAATTACTATCCTTACACTTGTTAACTGAGCCGTAAATAGGAATGTAGAAGTTAGCAGACTGTGACTCTGAGTCGTGTCATGGGGAAGCAGTCAGAGGTCATGTGAGGTCACTTGTCCAAAGCTGTCTGGGAGTTAGCGTGGGGTGTTACCGAGCACCATGGCTTGCTGCAGTGTTTTAAAATTTCAAGTTAAAGTGCTGAAGAAAGAGGTTCTACTTCTTCAGGAGGAAAATAGGAGGCTGAAGGTTTGCCTAGACGGGTTTGGGAGTGAGTGTGAGATGGTTGGAGCTGGTAAGGAGGAAATGGTTACCAGCAGTGAGGTGGAGAGTGTCAGCCACTTTAAGTGGCAAGTGGTTCACAATTCAGAAAAGAAGATAAGGAAGGTTAATAGATATGTGAAGGTAGGAAATCGATTCTCTGTTCTCTAGGACGAGTGTACTTCAGTGGTTAGTGAGGTTAAAGGTACCACTGACTCCCCTGCTAATCAAGGTAAGAATATTCTAATTGTAGTAGATTCTCAGGTAAGATATATGGGCCGTGCTTTTCATAAAAGAGATAGGAAGGTCAGACAGAGGGTGTGCTTCCCAGGAGCTGGTGTTGGTGACATAGTCAACAGGTTGGATAATACTATATCAGGTAAATAACAAGAACATAAAGTGGGACCAAGTAAACCAAGTCCTAAACGATATAAGCTGGGAAGATAGACTAAGCAACACAGACCCAAACTTATGCCTAGAACAGATTAACTCGGTGGCACTCGATGTATGCTCAAGGCTTATTCCTTTATGAAAAAGGAGGAGTAGATGTAAAATAGAAAGAGACAGGCACTCCTTTACAGGCGACGGAAAAGAGTAACAGAGCGGCTAAAAGAGGCCAATATATCTGAAATGTGTATGGAGTCACTAGTCAGAGAAATAGCAAACATCGAACTTAAGCTAAAGGAATCTTATAGGAGCCTGGAATCGCGGGAAGAACTAAAAGCCATAAATGAAATCGAAGGAAACTCAAAGTATTTATTTTCTTATGCCAAATCAAAGTCGAGAACAACATCCAGTATTGGGCTCCTACTTAAACAAGATGGGTCCTACACAGATGACAGCAAGGAAATGAGTGAGCTACTCAAGTCACAATATGACTCATTTTTTAGCAAGCCACTAACCAGACTGAGAGTCGAAGATCAAAATTATTTTTTTTATGAGAGAGCCACAGAATTTGGTTAACACAAGCCTGTATGATGCCAAATAAATTCGAACAGGCGATAAATGACATGCCCATGCACTCTGCCCCAGGGCCAGACTCGTGGAACTCCGTGTTCATCAAGAACTGCAAGAAGCCCCTATCATGAGGTTTTACCATCCTATGGAGAGGGCGCATGGACACGGGAGTCGTCCCACAGTTACAAAAACAACAGACATAGCCCCACTCCACAAAGGGGGCAGTAAAGAAATAGCAAAGAACTACAGACCGATAGCACTAACATCCCATATCATAAAAATCTTTGAAAGGGTCCTAAGAAGCAAGATCACCACCCATCTAGAAACCCATCAGTTACACAACCCAGGGCAACATGGGTTTAGAGCAGGTTGCTCCTGTCTGTCTCAGCTACTGGATCACTACGACAAGGTCCTAGATGCACTAGAAGACAAAAAGAATACAGATGTAATATATACAGACTTTGCAAAAGCCTTCGACAAGTGCGACCATGCCGCAATAGCGTACAAAATGCGTGCTAAAGGAATAACAGGAAAAGTTGGTAGATGGATCTATAATTTCCTCACAGACAGAACACAGAGTAGTAGTTAACAGAGTAAAGTCTGAGGCGGCTATGGTGAAAAGCTCTGTTCCACAAGGCACAGTACTCGCTCCCATCTTGTTTATCATCCTCATATCTGATATAGACAAGGATGTCAGCCACAGCACCGTGTCTTCCTTTGCAGATGACACCCGAATCTGCATGACAGTGTCTTCCATTACAGGCACTGCAAGGCTCCAGGCGGACATCAGCCAAATCTTTCAGTGGGCTGCAGAAAACAATATGAAGTTCAACGATGAGAAATTTCAATTACTCAGATATGGTAAACATGAGGAAATTAAAACTTCATCAGAGTACAAAACAAATTCCTTCCACAAAATAGAGCGATAAATGTACAGAGAACCTTCACGGCGCACATAACGGAGATAAAACACCTCAATTACTGGGAGCGCTTGAAGTTCCTGAACCTGTACTCCCTGGAATGCAGGCGAGAAAGATGCATGATTATATACACCTGGAAAATCCTAGAGGGACGAGTACCAAACTTGCACACGAAAATCACTCACAACGAAAGCAAAAGACTCGGCAGACGATGCAACATCCCCTAATGAAAAGCAGGGGTGTCACTAGCACGTTAAGAGACAATACAATAAGTGTCAGGGACCTGAGACTGTTCAACTGCCTCCCACTATATATAAGGGGATTACCAACAGACCCCTGGCTGTCTTCAAGCAGGCACTTGACAAGCACCTAAAGTCGGTACCTGACCAGCCGGACTGTGGCTCGTACGTTGGACTGCGTGCAGCCAGCAGTAACAGCCTGGTTGATCAGGCTCTGATCCACCAGGAGGCCTGGTCACAGACCGGGACACGGGGGACGTTGACCCCTGGAACTCTCTCCAGGTAAACTCCAGGTAATGGGAACAAGCCCATTATCTGTCTTAGTGCTGGTGGAAATGACATCGGGAAGGGCAGGAGACATGAGCTGCTGGATAAGTAAAGGTCAACCATAGATGTAGTCAGGTCTAAGGGAGGGATCCCAATCACATGTAGCATCTTGCCTAGAAAGGGAGTGGGCAATGAATGGATGTCTAGGGCAATTGGTATAAATTGCTGGATAGTCAGGTACCTGTCTGGGACAAATTCTACGGCAAACATGATTTGTATGCAAGGTTACTAACATGAAGATAATCCTCTTCTTCACTCGCACTTAGTGGTCATGTAAGATGCAAAGTGTAGAGAAATGGTTCAGAGAGCCGACAAGTTAATAAATTAGACACATGTGCAACTCTTGGGTATCTTTATTGAGGAAACGTATCGCCATTATGTGGCGAAACGTTTAATCAATAAAGATACCCAAGTGTTGCACATGAGTCTAATTCTCAAGATGCAAAATAGAACATGAAGCCTTGGTGGTATTTTGCTTGTCAGGAGACGTAAAAAATTTTTTGGGGAACATTTCTGGTCATTTACCATATGACTCACTCAGAGGATCTATTGGTCATCTCTGTGCAGATCCCCAGTCAGTACTGTCCAAGTGTACCTCAGGGAACACATACATTGTAGAACGACACTTTACGAATAAAAATATATGAAGAATGATGTTTAGTTGACACAGATACTATTAAAACTTCATTAATGCTCTTTATCTTGTTGCACAGATGCTGGGTGACCGGGTACGGGAAAGACGCCTTTGATAGCACTGGCCAGTTCCAACGCATCCTGAAGGAGGTAGACGTTCCCATGGTGGATCCCATCGTGTGCCAGCACCGCCTCAGGAACACTCGTCTCGGACAGGACTTCCTTCTGGACAGAAGGTCATTTGTGTGTGCTGGAGGCATTGCCGGGAAGGACGCCTGCACGGTAAGCTCCTCTGTCTCATTTTATCACCAATACCAACTCTTTCTCAATGCTCCTGGACTGCTTTTTAAAAGTTTGTCAGAACCAGCTAGAGGAAATAATTTACTAGACTAAGGTGTAGTAAACAATGATTCTGTGACAAGATAATCTCGAGGCAGTGAAGAGCTTTGAAAAAGCGACCACAATTACTTATTTTCAAAATCTCATGGACTTCTCTTAATACCTGTAACAAAATTAAGGTCTCCAATTTTCGCGCTGCAAATTATATGGGGCTAAGGGATTACCTGAAAAATGTAGATTGAGGGTGACCTGATTAGAGGGAAACCGGATAAAAGGTGGACGTTGATGTGAGAGTTTCCATAGCATATTTTAATAGAGAATTTAAATCTAACATGAATAAACCTACATGGATAAACAATGGACTCAAACATCTCTTAGATGAAAAGAGGCATTTACAGGAGTATCGAGTATTTTCAATTTAAAGAAAAGTTTAAAAAAACAACAAAGAACCACCAATATATATATACCTAATATATATATATATATATATATTATATATATAATATATCTTTTCTTTCAAGTTACCACGTATCCACTGAGGTGGGTGGCCTCAAAAGAAAAAACTGAAGTTTCTCCTTTTAAAATTTAGTAATATATCACAGAAAGGGGTTACTAGCCCCTTCTCCGCATTTAGTCGCCTCTATACATCGCATGGCTTTCAGAGGAACGCAATTCTGATTCCACTTCCCCATGGAGATAAGAGTAAATTATCACAAGAATCATGAATTTAGAAAGAAATAGCAAGAAAACCCAAGATGTTATATATATCTTTACATGTAATGTTTAGTGTGACCTAAGATCTAGAAAGAGAAAAGCACTTACCTTTAATCTTAATTTATGACAGACAAAAAGAATCAGCAATCCTACCATCATGTAAAACAATCAGGCTTTCGTTTTACACTCACTTGGCAGACGTAAAACCTCCCTGGGCAGTTGCTTCTACCATACTTACTATATTATATATAATTATATAACATATATATAAGTATAATATATATATATATAGTAAAATAATATAATATTAAAATATATGATTACCCTAGGAATTTGATAGTAGAAATATCGTACGTCAGATCCCCATGTACGGCGTATTAACGACATCGACCGATGTACCTCTGAACATCGGTTGAACATTTGAATACCTCAGAGCAAGACATTTAAATGGACAAAGAGTACATTGTATTCCTTTCTTTCATTATTTGAAAATGTCACACAGAATAATAGCAATCCATGTCTAACAGATATTACAGAAATTATTTTCTCAAGCACAGGAACATTGTAAGGAAAACACTCCTTTTAACCCTAGATTCATGACTGGAGTAATAATGAATGTATGACGACACAGTGGTGGTCTCACTGTAAACTGGAAATTTGAATCTTCTGTCGATGCGATAGACTAAAATGTCTAGGAAGGCTAGAGTGTTATCTATTTCATTCTCTATTGTGAACTTAATAAAAGGTACCAGACCATTGAGTCTAGGTAGGAACTCATCAGTGTTGTGATCTCTAGGGAAAAGGCAAAGCACATCATTACAAAACTGAGATACCCCAGGGATTTTGTTGAGAAAGTCCTGCCGTCAGCTAGAAAGACTTTTTACAGGACTTAACCTAAGGACGCCTGACAGGAAAAATTGATTGGCTCTGCCATAAATCATTTGGTTCGCTGACATTGAACTACAAAGAATGACATTAATGACAAGAAACATGAGTGTATAAGCTTACTTTTTAGTTTAAAATGTCAGTGATAAATAAAGCAATAGTTGGAAGTTTTGAACGGAAACTTATTTCACTCAACCAGAATATGAGGAAAGCACTCTTTTAGCTTAAATTCAGGTTGGATAAATACATGAGTATGGAACAGTGGTTGAGAGTACTTGCAATCTTGAATTTTGTCTGCATCGAAAATTGGGTTGAGCTAAAGTGTTAGTTATTGATTTCTATGGAACTTAAAAGAAAGAGCCATAGTCTGTGCAAGTCTCCTTTGTGTCTCTATGAGTAGGAGGAATGAATTAAGTGGAACCAGGGATTATTGCTTAAATCTGCCGTCATTGAAAGGAGTTTCAAATGTTAATAGTGAGGAAATGAAAAGGACACCCTGTATTGGTCACATTGCTGACAATGACATTTTCTGGTTCATATGTTTCATCTAAAAACTCGATATAATTACTAAATAGCATGGGATTATAAATTATAGTAAATAATAGGCATGGGGATTCATTTGGGTTTATCCAGGTATTATCCAGAAGACAGAGAAGAGGGACTATTGGGTCTAACCCTCTAGGTACAGCGATAGGTACAAGGTATACATATTTGACTGCAACGTGGTGATTGTGACTAGTTTAGTGGCTTACTGAATTAAGTTTTTAGTAATATTACAATGATAATGGTAATAATGATAGTAGTAGATGATAATGGATGATGATACTAATGGTGTTAAAAAGAATCAGGAATTGCCTAGTTATTATAAGAAAGAAAAGCCTGAATAGGAAAATTCACACAGGCATATTAACTGACACGTAAGAGTATTTCCTGAATATTCTAGAACGTTGTAGAACCGGTTGACAAAATGACTGATTTTTTCCTTCTATTTCATTAGTTAGAAGGTTGTTCACATTAGCTGCATTCGGTATGTAAATGTTCCAATTCTGTAATGTAACTTTCGTCACATGACCTGTTCGCAGCAGTTAGAAGCTTAGGGCTGGCTATTAACTCTATCCTAGTTATATTACCATGCTATCTATAAATTGTGGAGCCTACTCCACCTGACCTCATATGTGGGGGGTTGTGGGGGGACCGGTGTGTGGCTGGCATTCCACTGGGCCTCTCTTTCCCTCAATCATATTGGCTGGTGTCACCACACTACCATACACTGAAAAAACTTACCTTATTTCTCCTGTTGCTGCCTTGCAACATTGCACAGCTCCTGATGACACACTGAGAAGTGTGAATGTATTTGAGCTAAATATTTCCACCCACCGTGGCTTGTCTTGCATTGTTAAGATCCCCTGTCTGTCATTGTTTTGCATATATATATTATATATATATATATATATATATATATATATATATATATATATATATAATATATATATATATATATATATATATATATATATATACAGGTGGGGATATAGTTTTGGAGTGGTTGGTGCTATTATTTAATAAATGTATGGAAGAGGGTAAGGTACCTAGGGATTGGCAGAGAGCATATATAGTTCCTTTGTATAAAGACAGGGGACAAAACAGGGTGCAAAAATTATAGGGGAATATGTCTGTTGAGTATACCTGGTAAAGTGTATGGTAGAGTTATTATTGAAAGAATTAAGAGTAAGATGGAGAGTAGGATAGCAGATGAACAAGGAGGCTTTAGGAAAGGTATGGGGTGTGTGGACCAGGTGTTTACAGTGAAACATATAGGTGAACAGTATTTAGATAAGGGTAAAGAGGCCTTTGTGGCATGTATGGATCTGGAAAAGGCATATGACAGGGTGGATAGGGAGACAATGTGGCAGGTGTTGCAGGTGTATGGTATAGGAGGTAGCTTACTGACAGCAGTGAAGAGTTTTTATGAGGATGGTGAAGCTCAGGTTAGAGTATGTAGGAAAGAGGGAGATTATTTCCCAGTAAAAGTAGGCCTTAGACAAGGATGTGTGATGTCACCCTGGTTGTTCAATATATTTATAGATTGGGTTGTAAGAGAAGTGAATGCGAGGGTCTTTTCAAGAGGTGTGGAGTTAAAAGATAAAGAATCAAACACAAAGTGGAAATTGCCACAGTTGCTCTTTGCTGATGACACTGTGCTTTTGGGAGATTCTGAAGAGAAGTTGCAGAAAATCTAGTTTGTAAAATTACTCATCCTATGATTACAGGCATAGATCCTGATGTAAACTTTTTACTAAATGAATTACACGAATCAAACAGCAACTGTAATTACTATACAGCAAACAAAGCAAAGACATTACTCAGTGCAAACAATAACATAACCATCTTTAACTACAATGTCAGATCCTTGAGCAAACTTTATGACAACCTCACAGCATTACTCAATTCTCTTCATTTCAATATATCAATCATCACACTCACAGAACCCTGGCTTAAGCCTGATATCACAGATGTCTATACTATTCCTGGCTACATGGCCATACACAACTATAGAACAGACCAGGAAGGGGGAGGAACAGCCATATACTACTCAAATCAACTCGAATGTATCAATAAATCTTGCACAAGGGACGAACAAAGAGAATATATCATAGCCAAATTTAAATCAAAAGACCTGCAAAAAACCCTCAGTTATAAACATCTACAAAGTACCACAGTCAAACATTTATCTCTTTAGTGAAAAACTAGGAAACATGATTACTGATGCACACATGAATAAAGACCACCTACTACTAACAGGAGATTTCAGTATAAACATGCTACACGACCACGACCCTCAGGCAACCGAATTCACAAACACAATGAGTAACAGCCTGTTGCTACCAGCAATATCTAAACCTACAAGAATCACCAAGACAAGCATCTCCTTAATAGACCACATCTGGACAAACACAATATCCCCTTTAAAATCAGGCATAATCACAGACAACACTACAGACCACTACCCAACCATTCTCATAACTAATCTGGCAAACTGCAGCAAGACATTACTAAAGTAACCTTCAGACTACATAACGAGACAGCAGTTAACAACTTTATAGCAGCTATGAATAACATTGATTGGCAAAATGAGCTCGAAACATATACAGATATGAATGAATGTATAAACAATTTTCTAAAAAAAAAAAAAAAAAAAAAAGCCCAAAGCCTCTATAACAAACATTGCCCCCCAAAACTAAACAGATCACAGCAAAGAGACTGAATAATCCCTGGGTAACACCAAACATCCTCAAATCCATTAACACAATGCACAAATATGAAAAACAGTATAGAATGGGTCA